AAAATCTAACCTGGTGACATAGGATGAAAAAATTATATATTGTTAATGATGGAGTACTTTTTGTTTTAGTGAATTATTTAAAAAATCTGGGTTTTAAAAAGTGTCAAAAAATGCAAATTTTCTTTAACATTGTGTTCTATGGAATTGTTCTAAAAATAGCAATTTTCAAGAAATATTATGACGTGTTTCTCAAAAAGCAAAACTGTAACACACAAAATAATACTATTTCATTGTACCATAGGACATTATAGCTTCATGATTGTACATAATAAACTAATGAACATTGTCATGCGATTTATGACCAATTTTGTCAAAAATTATGACTAGGCTTCTACCTTAATGTAAATATCTTACAAAAACATTGGTGCCTAATTTGTTTAATTATTTTAAAGGACATATTATCCAACTTTTTTCAAAGTAATTCAGATATTTTAGTATAAAAATAAATGCCTCATTTCAGAAAAAAAGTGATGCATTTAGACATGAATAGATTCATAAAAAATGCAAGATAACAAAAAATCTTAGCTGGCTTTTGCCCAAGTATTTTGTACAGGTGTCTGTTAAAAATTAATGATTTACTAAGACAAGTATGAACTGCCTTAATATATTCATTGTATGATTACTGTATTATTTGAAAAGTAAAAAAAAAATCCCTCTAGGAATAACTATCATGTTGCAAGCTCTGCTTTGTAGGCAAATCAACTCAAATAGATAGTTTGTGTCCAGTGGAGGGAGATGTCAATAGTACTATACCGGTAATCTACATTTTCAAACACTGTAATTTTTGAAGTGAATTTTTGAATCAGTATTATAAAAGCTCTATAACTCTGTTGGATGCGACATTTTGCTATTTATGTAATTTTTGAAATTTGGGAGATACATTACCAATGATATTATTACAAGATGAATGATTTACTTCATTGAACACATACAACAATGCATATTTCCACTGAGATCAGTGACCTTTGATGTGTATCACCAGTGATCAGTCAAGTAGAAACAGTCAAAATATTTTATCAGATTTTTACATGATATTTTCATATAGGACATCTGTCATTCAAACTAAGGGGAAGACTTTATACTGATGAATAAGGTAA